AGGGGGGGGGGGGGGGGGGTGAAATAACGTCAACCAACATGCAGGTGTAGACTAACTCAAGGTATGTTTTAGATGACAGAACACTTAATATAATATATAACAATTATTTATTATATTATATTATATTCATACCACATCCCACTGAAGCATGAAAGATCACATTAAGATGCGTAAAGAGACACCTGACTCTTTGCTAAGCTCAACCCATATATTCACTGTACTCTGATCTCTCAGTTTTCCTGCCACCGGCAAACATGGAGGGAGAATCCACTGTATCATATTAAATAAATTACCTTAGAAATTATGAAATAACATCTGTATCAACAGCGCATTTTTATCTATGAGACCTAATGATACATAATTGCCTACATTGTTTCCAAATTATTTGTATGTACAACTATTGTACATTCCATTTAAAACTATTCAAATACACAGTATTTCCTTAGACTTGCATTATACTCTTAGAAATAAGGGTTCTTTATTGCCATCTATGGTTCCATGAAGAAATGTTAACATTCATAGAACCAAAAATGACATTTTTTCAAATGGAAAAGAAAGTTTCTTAAAGTGGAAAAAATGCTCTTCATGCTAAGGTTTTTTTTTTTTAAAGAACTGTTTACTTTGGGGAACCCAAAATGGTTCTTCTGTGGGTCTTCTGAGGGGAAAAACCCCTTTTGAAATCTTTATTTATAAGAGTGTAGAAAGAGCAACTGTTCAAATTAGCGTGAGAGTGCAATCCCTTAAAAGCGGCAACAGGAGTGGAAAGTTCTGCGGCCGATTTACTGACAGTGCACACATTAAGGAACACAGACACAGTCAGATAATTTCCATAATGACCAATGTAATCTACCAAGAGGAGCACAAATTAGTGTCTGGTTTAAGATGTGATTGTTTTAAGGCAGTAAATAATGGCACAATTAGGCAAAGTAAATTCACTACCGCAAACCTTAGTACATCAAGTTGCATGATTCATTTAAATAATCTCCCATAAGTTTTGCGTCTGAAAGGGACACTGTGTCCACACAGGTGAAAAGGTGTGGACACAGTGTCCCTTTCAGATGCAAAACTTATGGGAGATTATTTAAATGAATCATGCAACTTGATGTACTAAGGTTTGCGGTAGTGAATATGGGCTAGTCTTTCACTGTGCGTCTTTAGTAAATCCTGACAATAGTTTTTTAACATCAAAAGAGGGTTTGCGTGCCTTTGTGTCAGTGGTGGGGGTCCATGTTGCCACTTGATGCCTAAAGTAAGTAAAGTTGGTGGCTATAGCATTTGTGGTGGATGAGTTTAGGTTTCCTTCTCTTGGTTAATTAATATGAATAATAGATTTTTAGATTAATTAATGCAGTTTCTCTCTGTGCCAACTTTCACACAGGATTCAGTGGCATCTCATCAGTTACACCGTCATGGACTGTGCCAAGCATCCAGTCTTTTCCCCCAACATCAGATTGACAGTTAGACCGTATTAGCCACATCAGCACTGTTTCCTTAATTGATCCTTAAGTACTTGCATCATAGACTCTTAAGTACTAAGTCATAATATACTTGCATACAATGTAGCATTTAATGCAAGTATATTATGTCATATCAGGATTACATGCATTCAATCTGTTGCTTTTCATAGCAGAAAGTGGGTCATGCATCCCAGCTCATGCCAGACCCTACTCATCTCCATATGTTCCCTCAATGCACTCAAGACTTTCCTTTTGCCAGCTCTTCCATCCCCATAGAACAGAACAGTTATTATATCCCTTTTGGCTTAATACAGTGCATTTGAGCATCAGCTTTGATGCTTGGTTATTTTCTAAAGCCTTCTTTGTTCTGAACTGCCTTCAATAATTCTTAAATGACTTCAAATGACTAAGCCCGCAACCCATCCACAATCACACCCCGCCGCAGCAAACAGCACACATCTGAATGCACTCGAGGTCCTTAGGACCGAGAATTTACAGGCAAACAAGCTGTAAATAGCTCTACCCCTTATCCGTAGGTTTCCAGAAGGATTCCTTATGTTGTGGATTATTTTCGAAACCAAAAACCAAGAAGAAACAAACACTTTTCAAACACTTTTAGAGGTTGTTGAGTTCCCTTAGTCTGTATACACACTTAATTCACTCAGTGTTCTCGATTGGAGCTTAAAATAAATGTCATAAATGAAATTCATTCCATTTCTGTAGATTCCTCCAAATATACATCCTTATTTTTGTGGTGTTCAATAGCCTGCAGTTGCCATTAACATGTCACTGATAATGTTCTCTAACTGACAGCAGACTGCTCTGCTCCATATGTGGGTCAGTGACACACGAACTGCGATACACTCTGTTGAATTACCACACTAAAGATCACATGTAATCATACGCTGCCATCAAAACTGGGGACAAACATTTTCAAATGCAATGTAGCGCAAAAACACACATTTGCTAAATTGTTTGAGGCTGACAAATTCAGCATGCAACTGATTTGCATTTTTATATCTAAAAGCACAGGGCGTTGTTTATATCAATACGTGTGTTCGTGCTGTTCCAATCAGTTCAGTGTCTTTTGCATGCATAAATAAGCAGGAGTATTGCACTGACTAGCTTTGTTATTGTCTTCATTACACACGGACAAGTAAGCAAATGCGTGGAATGCACTTCAGGGCGCTTTTCATGGCTTCATTATGGCTGTGTAATATTCAGCCGAGCTCATGTCCATTTTTAAAGCTGGCATGGGGTGTACTGTGCCTCGGTGTTTTGCTGTGGTCACTGGGCTTGTTATTTCCCCTGAGCTTTTCCTTTTATAACCACCTGAAGCTAACTCACCTCAATATCTGAATCAAAATTGAATTACACAGATACACCGACTGTTTTTTATTAAAAATCATGACTTGTAACACTGTTGGAAATCTAGTTCAGATATTTACTGTAGTCATTATGCATGCTAATTACATGGTTCACTTGAATGCTTAATTCTCATTGGACACTCATGGTATTCAGCAGTCAAATGTTTTAGCATAATGGCCCCATAACTATTCTTTCGTACAGCTGTGCTTGTTTCATGTCTTTTGTTGCATTTTGTGCTCATATATTAAAATAATTTAGTTAAAACGATATTTAATGTTTGTTTGTTTATTTATTTTAGCTTTGTAATAAGCAGGATAATATTAAGCAAATGAACAAACAAACAAACACCTTCAGGATAGAACCCCTCTTCTTCATATTAAGGGTTTATAATGATCCGCTAAATGTACATTATAATTTGCCAGTGTTAATTTAATTTATGTACTATTTTAGTATGTATTAATATGTTGAATTAGCTGTGCTCATATATTAAAATAATTTAGTTAAAACGATATTTAATGTTTGTTTGTTTATTTATTTTAGCTTTGTAATAAGCAGGATAATATTAAGCAAATGAACAAACAAACTTTCAGGATAGAACCCCTCTTCTTCACATTAAGGGTTTATAATGATCCGCTAAATGTACATTATAATTTGCCAGTGTTAATTTAATTTATGTACTATTTTAGTATGTATTAATATGTTGAATTAGCTTTTATTTTTATGTTTTCAGTTTTCATTTTAATTTTAGTTTAGGTTGTTGTAATTTGGTTATGTGCTTTTATGTCAATTATGTGTATATTTATATAAAAAATATTATTTATTTATTTATTTTTCTTTCTTTCTGTTTTTGGAATTTTAGTTAGTTGCCAAAGCAACATTTATAGTTTTTTTTTTTTTTTTAAGTTTAAGTTTTTCCATCTAAGATCTATATTTTACTATACTGAATTTCAGCTTCATTGCATTTATTTATTCTTTTTTTTTTTTATAGTTTTAGTTTTAGTTAACAATGAAAGCACTGCCCTGAACATATCAAAAGCAGATTCAGGAAAATCAATCAATCAATCAATCAATCCAATTTTACCATATTTTCTGGGGGGAAAAATTGCATTTAAAGTCCCCCTGTGGTGAAAATCAAGTTGTTTGGAATTTTAGTTAGTTGCCAAAGCAACATTTATAGTTTTTTTTCCCACATTTATAGTTTAAAGTTTTTCCATCTAAGATCTATATTTTACTATACTGAATTTCAGCTTCATTTATTTATTCTTTTTTTTTTTATAGTTTTAGTTTTAGTTAACAATGAAAGCACTGCCCTGAACATATCAAAAGCAGATTCAGGAAAATCAATCAATCAATCAATCCAATTTTACCATATTTTCTGGGGGGAAAAATTGCATTTAAAGTCCCCCTGTGGTGAAAATCAAGTTGTTTATGTTGATTATTTGTCTATGTGTTGTTTTTAATATGCTTTTAGACAAACCATGTGCCAATCCATTTATCAACACCATTGCTGAGTATTTTCTCTTTAAAACTGTAGTTTCCCAAAGGCAGTCACAGAAACCCAGTTTGAAACAGCCTTTGATTTGCTACGTCACAAAAATCAATAACCAATCGCGTCAAGGGATCCTATCCTTACCATATCATTAACTGTGCTGCAAAGGGTCTAGTGAGAAGGCAGCCAGGTTAATCCGGTAACAGTTATACTTTTTTCTGTAGATGTTTCGCCCAACTGTTAATATTTCCCCCTATTTTCATGATGTTTAATAACTTGAATAATTACCCAGCCTTTGATTTGCTACGTCACAAAAATCAATAACCAATCGCGTCAAGGGATCCTATCCTTACCATATCATTAACTGTGCTGCAAAGGGTCTAGTGAGAAGGTAACAGTTATACTTTTTTCTGTAGATGTTTCGCCCAACTGTTAATATTTCCCCCTATTTTCACGATGTTTAATAACTTGAATAATTACCCGCGGCAGCAGTGTAAAAGTAGCCCCGTATGATCGCGGGCGCGATTTGGAATCACAAACTTGGTTGCATTTGAGTCTTCAAGGCATTTTAAGGACGCAACATCGCCAAGTAAGTAAATTTATCGAATGTTACAGTATCCACTGTAGTTGTCCGCTAGTAAAAACAGTTTTATCAGACATTATCCGTGTACGAACCAGCGCAAACAGATAATGTTACCTCACGAAGTTAGCCATCAGTCTCCTTGCTTACGTTGAGCATACCAGCTTATTTCTGGTTCAAACACATATGGCTTAATTAAACCAATATTTCCACTTGCCATTGCCATTGTATCGCGTTTACTACAGTTCAGTACAGTTCAGGAGGCGCTGGCTCATGGCTTGCTGCTGTGTGACTGAGTGGAGGCGGGGCTAATTTGCATATTCATAGAACCGCGTATAGTAAATGAGGCAAGGGTGTAGAGTTGCATTCAAGCTATTTTAATGCATGAGAAAATTATTTTCACAAGAAAAACAATTTAAATATGTCATTTTTATGATCAAAGATGAGTTTTAAAGGACACAATTTTTGACTGCAGGGGGACTTTAATTTAAAACTATTCAAATACACATTACTTCCCTAGACTTCTTTCCGGTTTCTAGTATGTCTCAGAAGGTTAAAAAGAGGCAACTATTGATTAAACTAAAAGAAGAGAAGCTACATTTGACAGCAATTACAGCTGATAACAAATGATTGCTGTGTGACTGAGTGGAGGCGGGGCTAATTTGCATATTCATAGAACCGCGTATAGTAAATGAGGCAAGGGTGTAGAGTTGCATTCAAGCTATTTTAATGCATGAGAAAATTATTTTCACAAGAAAAACAATTTAAATATGTAATTTTTATGATCAAAGATGAGTTTTAAAGGACACAATTTTTGACTGCAGGGGGACTTTAATTTAAAACTATTCAAATACACATTACTTCCCTAGACTTCTTTCCGGTTTCTAGTATGTCTCGGAAGGTTAAAAAGAGGCAACTATTGATTAAACTAAAAAAAGAGAAGCTACATTTGACAGCAATTACAGCTGATAACAAATGATAGCCTTCACTTTGTATTTGAGCACTGATGGCCATTTTGGGGTTTATTTTGGTTTATAATGACCTGCTGATTGTAAATGGTCCCTTACATACCAAAAGCAGATGCAGCAGAAAGTCAAGAAATAGTGCTCTGGTACAGCTGACTATAAACTCATTCACAGTTGACTCCCAGAAATGTTGTTTATATAAATAGATAAGTTGATACAGCTCAACACATCATGCCTGCATAAACACAATTTGGTTTTCTCCAGAATAGCTCTCTGCAGAGGCTGCTTGGCGTTCCTTTGCAAGCTTTATGATCCAGTACGAGGCATTAGGGCCTAAGATCTGAGCAGTGTTTCCTATGAGGATCCTTTGGCTATGCTGTGCAATCTGCCGCTCACCACTGACAGCAGTCCATACACACACCAGAATCATTACCCATTCCCACTGAAGCCGAGCTCCGCTCTCTTTGTGTTTGTGTGTTTACAGTAAACGGCCGGATAAAAGACGGGCTGAAGTGAGTTGGTCAGACAGGCCTTGCCAAAGCCACAGGCTGTTCTGCTGCTTTGCTGCCGCTGTGGTGTTTTGATGTGCGCTGCTGTGCAGATGCAGTTTTTGGGCGATCACCAACAAGCTACCATACAGGAGGAGACTCTGGTAAAGTAAGGGATATCTTTCAAGGTTAGTGTCAAATCCCAAGGGCACCATGATGCAGCTGTTGCTTTATAGCACAATGTCAGATTGTCGGGCCGTGTGGCATCTGTCCCTGCTTGCTCCGCCAAAAACTGTTCAACAGAAAAGAGGATGCCCTTGTAAAGAAAGTGTGAATGTGAATTTGTACTGTACTTCAAATTTTAAAAGTATATATACAGTGTATATATATATATATATAAATTGTGTTTGCATATATTATAATTTTAATGAAATAAAGACTACTTAGAGTACTTATAGAGTACTTACTTAAAGTGCAATTTGTAATAATGTCAAATAAAAGTTTTATTCTAAAGTACATTTTAAATATAAAACAAAATGATTATAAAACAATAAGAAATTACTTCACTTGTAATTTTGATGTGTTGACTAACATACCAAAGCACATATACAGTGTGATTATAATTTTAATTGTAGTGTGGTGTTCAATATTACATTTAAAGATAAAATATTTTAAATGTACTAAAAAGCAACTTCGTCCTTACAAATGTGTAATTACACATATATTTAAATACATGCCATACAAGTTTCAGTAAATTTGCCATAAATGTTTGTCAGTACCTTCGGCAGATTTAATGCAATTTATTTAATTATGAAATTCCAAAAAAGGAGGTACATAAGTCCTATTAAATGATAATTCAGCAATCAAGTCATGTGTTTTTCTCTATTATCTGTTTAAAAACAGAACTAGCAATGCCAGATTCATAAATGAATCACTCTTTTGATCTAAAAGTCTGAAATTGTTCCAGATTTAGTTTACACTCTCATAAAGGGCACAAAATCTGTCACTGGGCTGGTACCCTTTCAGAAGGTACTAATATGAACACTTTATGCACTACTAATATGTATATTTAAGGTACTAATATGCAGCTTTTAGGAGTAAATAAGGTGCAAAGATGGACCTTTTGAAAGTGTACCGCACCAGTGACAGCTTTTTTATCTTCTTTTCTGAGCGTGTAGGACAGTTCACTTACACACTTGATTGTTTATAGCAGTTTCTCACACTGAAAGAGTAATGGGATATTTTATAAAGACAGAAAGCTAAAAGAGTGTTGGATGAGATGGATATTTACCTACAATCCATCGTAGAAAACAAAACTTGCAAATCATTCGCCAACAACGAAGCAGCTCTTTATTGCACATGCAGCTTTTGAACGACTCTGTTCTGACAATTATTTCCAAAACAGTATTTGAAAAAAAAAATTTGTTTAAAAATATGGGCACACTTTTTCTGTGCCCCAGTATTGATGAAAGGCTAGAAATGCCCCTGATTATGTCTGTAATAAGTACTTTTTTTTAAAGTATGCTAAAGTGTACTTATTTTTCACAAGGGTGTGCATGTTCCAACTTAAGCCCTTTAAATACAAGGACAGTCAAATTCTTCCTTACCCTAGAAAACAACTGGACTGCCTCATTTTCATCCAACTCAGCACACTACTATTCTTATGAGTGTTTTATATTCACCGTCAGATCAGTTTGAATGCCCACGTTTGCAGATGGAAATGCATGACCAAGCCCTCAGACGACCTCGCACCATGTTGATCGGCTTACACAACAAGTCCATAATGAGACGAAGGTATTATTCAGTTGTCTAGCCTAACAGATACTGGCTGCTTCCGATGCGCGCCGTGTTATTCTGTTCTACCGGTGGCCTGCAGCGCACGAATAAACACTACACCAGACTGATGGAAAGACGCCAAAACTATATGAACAACATGTACAAACAGGGACAGAGAGCAAAGTCAATAAATCTGAAAGCCTTCAGAGCTTCCTGTGAACAGACAATGAAAGGCCACATTCGACACCTGTTCGCTTTGAAAATGTCACTTTTCTTTCACACTTTGAGTATTTTTACAAGCCTTGCAATACAAGAGATTGGGATAGTTACCTAACATGTGAAAAAGAGAAAGAGTGATGCTGTAATTGAAGTGCAGGGCCTATGAGGGTCTATATCGCTGGTTGTTTATGTGTTGATCTGCCCGGAGGTGGTTGACGATCAAACCGAACTCAAAAGCAGTACTTTCTGCTTGATCTTACCACACAGTGCATGAAGCCCAGTGCTACTGGAGCAGAATGAATGGTGCTGCAGGGCCAAACGGCCTCCCTGCTCTCCATCAACGGAAAGAAGGACAAAACGTTTTCTGCAACATGAGTTCTGCTTGCACAAGCAACGCATAAGTCACCCGTAACGACTCTGCATATAAACACATACTGACACCCACAGAAACACACATGTTGTTAACTTACAGTAAGACATGTAAGTTATACATAGCAAGTTCAATTACTGTCTGAGTGATGTATTACTACATAACGTATTCAAGACATTTGTTTATTATTGTTGTTTAAAAATTTTACTAGAGGCTACAGCACATGGGATGACAGACTGTATTTTTCATATTCAAGCATTTTTCTTCTTTGTTTCAGTAAGAAAATCCTGCTCCAGTGTGCCACAAGTCATGGGGGAAGACAGGGCTTTGGAAGGAGAAAGAAAACCTTTGTTATTTTCTGTCCATGGAGAAGTATGTGAAGGCATAAATTCATAATGCCTCTCCAAGAAACGTATATGTTGTTGGGAAAGCTATTTTAAAAAACTAGCTTGCCAAGGTAAGACACATTTAAACTAGTTAAACTCTATAAGATAGCAAGCAATAAGCAGATATTGACTGAAGCTACTTAAAAGTGTAGTAAAACCCCAAAAAACTGAAAATTCTGTCATTATTTACTCACCCTCATGTCATTCAAAACGTGTATTTCTTTCCTTCTTCTGTGGGACACAATGTTTTGATGATCAGTATGAACCAAAGAGTTTTGGTAACCATTGACTTCCATTATATGGACAAAAAAACACAGACATTTCTCAAAATATCTTCTTCTTTTGTGTACAGCTAATTATTCAGATAATCAGGTTTTTGATTTTATGCACAATGAGAGTAAACATATCAAACATATACACTACTGATTAAAAGTTTGGGGGTCGGTAAGATTATTATTAGTAGTGTAGTATCTTATGTCTTTAATGTTTTTATTCTCACCAAAGCTGAATTTGTTTGATGGAAAATACAGCAAAACAGTAATATTGAGCAATATTATCACAATTTAAAACAATATATAACACATAGTTTTCTATTTTAATACAATTAAAAATGTAATTTATTCCTGTGCATAATAATATGTAAGCTGTATATACAGGAATAATTAAGCCACTATATATGCAATAATTATACTGATTTGCTGCTCAATAAACATTTCTTATTATTATCAGGTTGAAAACAGTTGAGCTGCTTAATATTTTTATAAAAAAAGCATGATCTTTTTTTT